GAGCAACAGTTGCTCTGTTGTCAGGATCCTCTGTAGACAGGAGCAACAGTTGCTCTGTTGTCAGGATCCTCTGTAGACAGGAGCAACATTTGCTCCGTTGTCAGGATCCTCTGTAGACAGGAGCAACAGTTGCTCTGTTGTCAGGATCCTCTGTAGACAGGAGCAACAGTTGGTCTGTTGTCAGGATCCTCTGCAGACAGGAGCAACAGTTGCTGGTGCACTGTGACCTGTTTGGTAATTTAATGGCTCAGATTATTTTTAATCTTTATTTTTACAGGTGGTCTTATTGAGTCATGAGATGTGTATCGAGCAACTCTGAGTGCCCGGGTGTGACGAGGCTAAATGTTTTGGAGGCATGAAGCTCATTGGCTCGTCAAACAAAATTTAAATCCATAAATTAGCCGCAGCGTTGTAAAAGATCGGGGTTCAAAGCCTGTGAAAGAAGTAGCGGTTTATAGTCCGGAAGTTACGGTAGTATTTTTATTTTAAAAAATTTTTAAAATGGAGAAATGAGCATGAATGTGAAACAGTATGGAGCCTCTTGTGCGTGTGGATTCTGAGTGATGAACTCGCCGCCCTGACCTTGAGCAGCCGCTCGAACAGGATGATGCGGATCAGCTGGTACTCCGTGTCCCGCTCACGAATGATGAGAGGCAGCGTGACGGTGGCCGACAGCTCGTTGCTGCTGTTGGACTGCGGCAGAGTCGACTGTCTGGAGGAGGAGACGGAAGGAGACGGGATGTGACGCCAAGTCACGACAAAAAACTGCTGAAGGATGAAGGTCTGACGGCACCAGGTTCCACAGACTCACTCGTCTTCCAGAAGAGGGAAATAAGCTTCTCCAGCCACGTCCTTCAGTCTCTGAGGAGAAAAATGCAACTGTCCTCACGTTCCACACTCCGTCTGCTGATTGACAGTTTCACTCCAAAGAGGCAGCACGTTGTGACTGAACTTACGTTAGCAGTCCAACAGGTTTCAGTCAGGTCATCTGGACAGTTTCTTTTTTTTGTGCTGAAACGTTTCGCCTTTGATCCGGAAGGCTTCATCAGTCTGTGTCAACCAGTTTGACACGATTGTCAACAAAGAAGAGGGCCGGCAATGGAGGAGGGGGCGTACCAAAGACACCATCTTAGCACCAACAAAACTGGTTTGTTCCACTTTGGAGTAAGCTGTTGGGGGAAGAATCAGTTTTGTGTTGTGTGTTTCTTTAACTGATGAAGCCTTCTGGATGGAAGGTGAAACATTTCAGCACAAAAAAAATAGAAACTGTCCAGATGACCTGACTGAAAAATGTTGGATTGTATACCTGGATTATTGAGCATGGACTTTATATGTTAGCAGTGCACTTCACCATTGACACAACAAAACACAATACACAACACAAGACAACACAATACAACACAAGACAACACACAACACAATACACAACACAAGACAAAACACAATACACAACGAACTACACAATACACAAAGCACTACAATACAACACACAACATACAACACATTACACAATACACAATACACAACACAAAACACTACACAATACACAACGCACTACAATACAACACACAACACAACACACAACACAACACACAACACATTACACAACACAAGAGACAACACACTACACAATACACAACACAATACACAATGCACTACACAA